GTACGACAGATCATATGATCAAAGAAATGGTACAGAAATACCCCAAGATTCAAATAAGAGAAAAGAAAGAACCAATATAAGTTGTCCTTTTTTTATGGCGGTGGTGTCTGAGCCAGCTAGGGCACACATCAATTATTTCTTTTCAGAGCATATGATCAAAGAAATGCTACAGAAATAACCCAAGACTCAAACAAGGGAAAAGAAAAACCCCATGTGAGCTTTTTTATGTTATGATGGTGGTGTCCGACAAGCTTGGGTGCACCTCGATAATTCTATCGGGTATCACTCACCAGCATAGGTACCGGGTAACTCTGCCCACCAAGGCTTAAGCCAATGGGAAGAAATTACCCAGTGTTTTATCTTTTCAGAGCATATGATCAAAGAAATAACCCAATCAGCTCTAAGCCTCCAACTTTCATTACAAGTTACCAAAAATAGAAAGATTCTAAGCTAATTAAGGACAGCAAAAAAGTAAAGAGGCAAGGCAGGTCATAAAGAGTAAAAATATCTAGTGAATTCATCAAATATCCCCAAAAGACCAAAACCCAGCTGTAAAAAAGGCAATAAATAGGAAAAGTTAAGGAGAAAAAGAAAGAGTTAAACTCACCGATTTGTCCTTAGGAATCGGCAGTAGATCAAATTTTCCCATCTCAATATACTTAACACTACAAAATCACCAAAATATAAAAATCGCATCAAATAATAAGACAGACAGATTAAAAATAGCTCAAAATATGAATCTAAATTATCAGTAGTTTTGCATTTGTAAGAGAAGAGAGAGTACCGAAAAGGGATTTGTAAATTTATTCGGATCTAAGAAACAGTAGGAGACTTAAATTGCATCAATTAAGAGTGACTGAAACGACTGTGTTGGGTGGGGTGGTGGGTAGGGTGGGGGTGCGGGTGGGGGGAAGAGGAGAGCTCCAGAGCGGAGCAGAGCTGGAGAATTGAAAATGGAGATGGAGATTGCGAATGGAGATGGTGATGATGATGTCAGAATTTTAAATTTAATTAATGTCGCCTGTTTATTACTATATTTTATTTATAAAATTAAACGAAGTACTTTTCTGGTATAGACTGGTCTACGAAAAAAGTCTTACCTTCTTTTGTTCTACATTGACCTTCTCAAGTGAGTGTGTTAAGGAAAGAAAAGCTTTGGAAAAATTAAGTGTTATAGCCGCTCTCAAAAATATTAGCTGATAAAAATATATAATTTTTTATTATATTTTATTGTATACTAATGTATAATATTTATATATATATATTATAACTTTTTTAAATATTTAGCTTGCGAAATATAACTATTTTTTATCGACAAACCAATTGTGTAACTTGGGTAGTTGGCGAGGTGACCTCTTTTTAAACTTGAATTGGCCAAATCACCTTGAGGTTTTAATTATTGTATGATTGACCTTCATGCTTAATTAATGGTTAAGTGGGATTATAAAGTGAAGGGAAAAGTTGAGTCTTTATCCCTAAAGTTTCAGTTATTACACTTTGGACCCAACCTATATAAATGTAATATTACCGGACTTAAAAAAAAATCTCATCCCTTCCCGCCTCATTTGCCGCCCCAATCCCCATTTTTCACGGCTGATTCCTCCATTGCAGTTTCTTGCATTCAACACAAGAGGTCGTCTCCCTTCTTCCACGTTCCTCTCAAAGCTTCATTCTTTTAATTTATCATTTACTTTGAAGAAATCGACAAATTGAGGGATTTTCGGATGTGTCGAATTTGGGGAAGAAATTGGCGGTATATTGGATTCATAATTCATTCCAGGTGGTATATTATGTACCTCCTTCATCTGGTAAGTGTTTTCATCTCATCTTCCTCGTCATTGTTAATTTAGGTTTCTGCAAAAAATTCTGCACAGTGCTCGATCACTAGTGTACAATAGACCACTGGTTCACAATAGAGTGATGGGAGATTATATATTAGTATGCAGTCTATATTCTAGTGAATGGGTTGAGGGGTCAACCAGTTGGAATTGGAATTCCTGTACAAAGGTTATAGTTGTGAGCACCTAAATTTTGACCATAATTGAATTTTTCACCACTTTCTAGTATGTAAATATTATTTGAGTTTAATCTGCATATTTAGCTTTTGTTTTACCTTTTATTGATTTTCCTTAGGAAAATAAAATTCACAAAAGAATCACATATTTGAATTACTAGCTTTGTTTTAATTTACAAAAGAAAAGAAATTCACAAAAATATATTTTTTCTTCTAATTTTGGTAAGGCTTGCAATTTTATAACTTTTTTTTTAATAGTTTCTTATATTTTTCTAATTTTTAGTTTTAGTGTAATATCTTTATTTTTGATTATCTTTAATAAATTAAAAAGGGGGGGGGGGGGGG